GAAGTAATATTCGCCTTGCGAATTGCCTCGGCGGCTTTTTCTCGGGTTTCCTGGAGTTCCGTCACAAAAGTTTGTGACCTCGGGACCGGGTTGTCGAGGGAAGTCGCTGTAGGAACCGTTGGGTCCATCCCGTAATTCAGGAAAAACGGGGAGTGATTAGTCGTGCTGGACGGTGCGTTATTGAAGGCGAACTCCAACATTGCGAGAGATTCTTCCCAGCGGGCCGGGTCGGGGCAGTTTGTCCTGATCAGCTGCTCCATGGTCTGATTGGTCCGCTCGGTTTGACCGTCCGTCTGTGGGTGATATGCCGATGAGAACTGTAGCTTCGTGCCGTACTGCGCCCACGTCTCCTTCCAGAACTTTGATGTGAACTTCGGGTCTCGGTCGCTGATGATCGCCGAAGGGATGCCGTGCAGTCGCACGACCGTTGAGATGAAGAGTCGCGCAGTTTCTTCGGCTGTGATTGTCGTTCGGCATGGTGCGAAGTGCGCCATTTTCGTGAAGCGATCGACGACGACGATGACAGCGTCGTTGCCGGACGGCCCAGCTGGCATCCCCGTGACGAAATCCATCGTCACTTGCTGCCACGGTCGTTCGGGTGGCTCGAGGGGTTGCAGCAGCCCAGCTGGTCGTTGACGTGTCGATTTCATAGCTTGGCACACCCTGCATGAGGACACATATCGCTGCACGTCGTTAGAGGAGTCAGGCCAATAATATTGACGGTGCAGTAATTTCTGGGTTTTATCAACCCCGAAGTGTCCGGAGAAATTCGAATCGTGGACCTCCTGGATGAGAAGTTCACGCAGCAGCCGGTAAGCAGGAACCCAAATCCGGTCGGTTCCGGCTTTTAGGTAATAATCCCCTTTCTACGTCGTGGCCTGCTGATGATTCCCAGTCGTGAAGAACGGGTCCGTAGTGTAGCCGTGGGTGAATAGTCCTGTAAGTAGCGGGTTCGAATGGGTGATGAGTACTGCAGCGGATTGTACTGTCGGTCGGGTCAGGGCGTCGACGATGTTATTCGCCCCTTTCTTGTACGTGATGCGGTAGGTGAAGTGGCTTTCCATGTAATCCAGCCACCTAATCTGTCGTGGGTTGAGGTTGGGTTGGGCTCGCAGGTACTGTAGGGACTTATGGTCCGTGCGAACAGTGACGTCGGCGCCCACCAGGTAGCATCGCCATAATTTAAACGCGTGTATGATGGCGAGCATCTCCTTGTCGTGGATCGGGTAGTTGCGTTCGGCTGCCTGCTATTTGCGTGATTCGTAGGCTATCGGCTGCAATCCGTTCCCGAAGTCTTGGAGAAGCACAGCTCCGATGGCGAAATCTGAGGCGTCGGTTACAACTTCGAACGGCTTCGATGGGTCGGCGATGCGCAGCACAGGAGGGGAAACGAGAAAATTCTTGAGTTCCTGGAAGGCCGCTTCTGCTTCCTCCCCCCACACAAAATTCCTGTCCTTGTGCAGCAGGTTGGTCAGCGGGCCGGTTATCCCCGCCATATTCGGGATAAACCGCCGGACGTAATTCACGAATCCGAGAAAACTCTGGAGTTCCGTGACGTTCGTCGGGGACTTCCACTCCTGTATGGTCTTGATTTTCGCCGGGTCGATTTTAATGCCGTCGCGGGAGATTACGTGCCCCAAAGACTCCAACTCCTGCTTAAAAAACTCGCACTTAGAGCCCTTGGTGATGAGTCGGTTTTCCTGCAGCCGTTTAAACACTGCATCCAGGTCTCGGAGGTGCTGCTCCCGTGTCTTGCTAAAAATGAGGATATCGTCCAAGTAGACAATGACACATCGGTCTAGAAGATCCCGAAAAACCCTGTTCATGGTCAGTTGAAAAGTCGAAGGCGCGTTCGTGAGGCCGAAAGGCATCACTGTAAATTCGTAACTCCCGTAGCGTGTGCGAAACGCAGTCTTGTGACAATCGTCGGCGAAGACTCGAATCTGGTGGTAACCGCCACGTAAGTCAGTCAATCTTCGAGAAATAGCGAGCGCCGCGAAGTTGTTCGAGGAGGTCGTCGGTGCGTGGGATTGGGTAGCGAGACTTGATGGTGACCCGGTTCAGCGCACGATAGTCGATACACATGCGAAGCCCGCCGTCCTTCTTCGGAGTGAACAGGATCGGTGCTGCGAAGGGGGATGTGCTGGCCCGAATGAACCCTTTCTCCAACAGTGCATCAATTTGACTTCGCAGCTCCTCGAGTTCCGGCTGGGTCAACCGCCACTGTGTCCGAACAGTCGGCTGCGCGCCAGGTTCCAGCTGGATTTTGTGGTCCTCAGGTCTCTCGGGTGGCAGTCCAGGTGGCAGGTCGTCGGGGAAAATGTCCGGGTACCTCCGAATCAGGTCCGCTAAATCCGGTGGTACAGCTGCACACAGCTTCTCGATGTCTTTTCCATCGGTGTCAACCGCCAACTCGCGTAAGCAGACAGCGAACAGCTGCGCGCCCCTGTTGAAGTGGCGAGCTATAGTGATAGCTTTGACGCACGGGGCTTGGATGTAGTCAGGTGTCCATGCAGGTAATTTTATTAACCCCTCGTGCTTGCTGATGCTGCACGATCCCGTTGTCCAGTCGATGACGGGGTTGTGCCGTCGCAGCCAATCACGTCCGAGCAGTACGTCGCAGCCGTCCAATGTTGTCGCGAGAAACTTCATGCTGAAGCCGAAATCGTCGCCGCAGTCGATCCTGACCGTCCGTGTTTCTTCCGTAATCGCCAGAGGCGTCCCATCCACGAGGCGAGCGTCAATTTCGGGCAGACACCTGTCAAGTTGCAGCTTGCATTTTTTTGCGCTCGCCAAATTGAAGAGGCTATGGCTGGCCCCTCCATCGACGAACATTTTCAAATTATGTTTTAACACCTTGCCAGCGACCAGCACAGGGTGATCCACATGATTATCCCCGTTATTCGGCCGAGTGCGATCGATTGCATGAATCGGAACCACGACTCGGTGGGGATGATGGTGTTCGGGCGACGGAGCACAGTCAGTAAAGGGCCCGCTAATTACTGACTCTTCCCATTTCCCTGCTCCTTCCTGTCGTCCCCTGTCAGCGGCATTTTCTCCTGGCAGTCTTTCCTGTAGTGACCCACCTTCCCACACCGAAAACACGGACCCTTAGGAGGGCGGTCGGGTGTATGGACGGCATTGATCGTGGCCCGATGGGTCTGGCCACGAAAACTTCTCCCATCCCTGGAAGCTGTTCTCGCGTACTGCATCAGCGCATCAGTTGACTCCGCCACGCGTACTGCTTCGAGGAACGATGTCGGGCGGCTTCGGCGGACCTCGAACTGTATCTCGTATTTAAGGCCGCTGACGTATTTATCCAACCGCTCTGCTTCCGACATGTCATCGATTTGGTCGGCGAAGCCCATAAATGACGCCGTGTAGTCTTGGACAGAGGCCATCTGCGACCATGCACGCAGCTTCATGCGAGCTTGCTCCGAGGTGGATACGTGCTCGAAGCGATCTCGTAAGGCTGCGCCCCACTCTTTCCACGTGCGTATCTTGGTCACACCGAAGATTGGTTCTGCCACTTGATTAACCACTGTAGAGGTCCCGTCTGCCGCATGTGTCACACCTGTCGGCGTCCCCGTTTCCAAGGTCCGGCGCCACCACTCAAGTGCTGCACCTCGAAGAAGCGAGACCGCGTAATTAATACGCGTGGCATCGTCATTAACTTCGGCTGCAGTGAAAAAGACCTCGACCCCGAACAGCCACCCTTTTACCGTAACCGTTTTATCCGTAGGGTTAAACGGGGGCGGGTTGACGGGCTTGATCTTGATCGTCGTAACTGCAACTGGCGCAACTGCCGCTTGCCGCCTATCTTCTTCTTCGAAGTCGCGTGTGAGCTCGTCCAGAGGATTGCCCATCACTTGACTGTTGCCCTCGCCTTCTTCATCGGGCGACTCCTGACGCGTTTCACCTCGCGTCTGGCGTAGCTCGGCGTTTTCTCCTCGTAGTGTTGTCACTTCCGCCGATAATGTCTGCACTGTTGCCTGTAATGCTGCCATTTGTGCCAACATCTCGTTCAACTTCTCCTGATCCATGTGCCTAACGCTTCGTCTGGTGGGCAAGTGGGTACCCGTGGTATCCAGGCAAGTGAAAACACGAACTATCGGAGTCGGGCAGGATTGAGTTAACAATCCCTGCAGCCAACCGTCGTATAGTCACTAAACCAACCACACCCCTGCCACCAAACTACCCTCGAAAAAGCGGGGTGAACTAGGAAAGTAGCTCTGATACCAGGTGTTATGAGCTGTAAAAGAGAGTGCGCAGATAAACGAATAACGAGACTGTGATTGAACGAACTGGGAATACAATGAATGCACAGACTAATGTAGGGCTAGCCTAGCTAGGAGGAAACCTCGGAAAGCGAGGTTGGGTGCAGGTTTGGCGATGGGAATGCCGAAGGCGACGCGAGGAGCCTCGGCAGCGTTGAAATCGGCCGAACGTGCGAACTCCGAAAATCGGGTTGTACGCGAAGCAGTCAACCCCGATAAGGAATTCGGGAAAATTCCTTACATTGTATCTGAACAAAACATATCCACTCTTCTAACGAGTAGAATTTGTATTCTTCCTTTGCACACCTGTCAAACCGAATTCGACGCTCTTCTCTTCTTCATTCTTGGTTCTTGATTCTTGTTTTCTTGTTCTTGGTTCTTGCTTTTCTTTGGTTCCTGCCGTCGCGCCTACCTACCATGTTAGCTTTTCTGTTCTCCTAACACCCCGCCGTCGCCTCTCCTCCCATCCCACTGTGTCCTCTCCCTCACTCCCCGCCATCTCCTCTGCCTGCCTCTCAGCCGCCGTCGCCGCTCCTTCCTATCCTGCATCGCCTCTGCCTCCCACCCCGTCATAGCCTCTCCCTTCCTCCTCTCCGTCGCCTCTCCCTCCCTTCCCGCGGTCGCCTCTGGTGGGTGCACGAGCGTGAGCGCGGGTTTCTGCCCGACCGCGCGTTGTTTTCTGAGGCACCGTTGTCTCAGGTGCGTTTACGTTTTCCGGACCTGTTACCTCCCTCCTCCCTCCGAGAATTCCAGTTTTCTACTTTCTTCGGAATTTCTCTGTGCCAATTGGTTTCCTTTTAGCATTGCGCCCATTGGTTTCCTCATTAGCATTGCGCTGGCGCCTTGCGTGCTGGCGCCCTGCGCGCTGGCGCCTTGCGCGCTGGCGCCTTGCGCGCTGGCGCCTTGGGCGCTGGCGCCTTGCGCGCTGGCGCCTTGGGCGCTGGCGCCTTGCGCGCTGGCGCCTTGCGCGCTGGCGCCTTGCGCGCTCGCGCCTTGCGCGCTCGCGCCTTGCGCGCTGGCGCCTTGCGCGCTGGCGCCTAACGCGCTGGCGCCTTGCGCGCTGGCGCCTTGGGCGCTGGCGCCTTGCGCGCTGGCGCCTTGCGCGCTGGCGCCTTGCGCGCTGGCGCCTTGCGCGCTGGCGCCTTGCGCGCTGGCGCCTTGCGCGCTGGCGCCTTGCGCGCTGGCGCCTTGCGCGCTGGCGCCTTGCGCGCTGGCGCCTTGGGCGCTGGCGCCTTGCGCGCTGGCGCCTTGCGCGCTGGCGCCTTGCGCGCTGGCGCCTTGCGCGCTGGCGCCTTGCGCGCTGGCGCCTTGCGCGCTGGCGCCTTGCGCGCTGGCGCCTTGGGCGCTGGCGCCTTGCGCGCTCGCGCCTTGGCCGCTGGCGCCTTGCGCGCTCGCGCCTTGCGCGCTGGCGCCTAACGCGCTGGCGCCTAACGCGCTGGCGCCTTGCGCGCTGGCGCCTTGGGCGGTGGCGCCTTGAGCTCACGCCTTGCTGCAGTGAGCTCACGCCTTGCTGCAGTGAGCTCACGCGTTGCTGCAGTGAGCTCACTCCTTGCTGCAGTGAGCTCACGCATTGCTGCAGTGAGCTCACGCCTTGCTGCAGTGAGCTCACGCCTTGCTGCAGTGAGCTCACGCCTTGCTGCAGTGAGCTCACGCGTTGCTGCAGTGAGCTCACGCCTTGCTGCAGTGAGCTCACGCCTTGCTGCAGTGAGCTTACGCCTTGCTGCAGTGAGCTCACGCCTTGCTGCAGTGAGCTCACGCCTTGCTGCAGTGAGCTCACGCCTTGCTGCAGTGAGCTCACGCCTTGCTGCAGTGAGCTCACGCCTTGCTGCAGTGAGCTCACGCCTTGCTGCAGTGAGCTCACGCCTTGCTGCAGTGAGCTCATGCCTTGCTGCAGTGAGCTCACGCGTTGCTGCAGTGAGCTCACGCGTTGCTGCAGTGAGCTCACGCGTTGCTGCAGTGAGCTCACGCGTTGCTGCAGTGAGCTCACGCGTTGCTGCAGTGAGCTCAACCCTTACTGAATCGAGCTCACGCCTTGCTGCAGCGAGCTCACGCGTTGCTGCAGCGAGCTCACGCCTTGCTGCAGTGAGCTCACGCCTTGCTGCAGTGAGCTCACGCCTTGCTGCAGTGAGCTCACGCGTTGCTGCAGTGAGCTCACGCGTTGCTGCAGTGAGCTCACGCCTTGCTGCACTGTGCTCACGCGTTGCTGCAGTGAGCTCACGCCTTGCTGCAGTGAGCTCACGCCTTGCTGCAGTGAGCTCCAGCCTTGCTGCAGTGAGCTCACGCCTTGCTGCAGCGAGCTCACGCGTTGCTGCAGCGAGCTCACGCCTTGCTGCAGTGAGCTCACGCCTTGCTGCAGTGAGCTCACGCGTTGCTGCAGTGAGCTCACGCCTTGCTGCAGTGAGCTCATGCCTTGCTGCAGTGAGCTCATGCCTTGCTGCAGTGAGCTCACGCCTTGCTGCAGTGAGCTCATGCCTTGTTACGGCAGCCCGCTTGCTCCTCTACCAGTGCCTTGCTGCAACTCTCTGGCACCTTGTAGCATGGCGATGCCCAGCTCGTTGCACCAAGTCACCTTGCTCGCTGGAACCTTGCTGCACACCAGCGTGGTGTGCGTGACCCCAGGGAATCTATGCTTCAAACCACGCTTGTGAGTCGTCGAATTCGGTTTTCTTTTGTACTTGTCATATTTCTTTCAAGTTCCATTTCACAATCAAGTGCGTGTTCGTCATTGAATAGTTCACTCCGTTTTCCGACTACAATTCATGTTCTGCTTGACCTGTTTGTTTTGCAAGGTGTGCGAGACGCGTTGTGGGGAGCAGGGAGGGATCGAGAGAGAAGACAATGTGGAAAAGGGTGGGAGGAGATTTTGATGGTTGAGGGAGAGGAAGGAAGGCAGAAAGGGGGAGTAAGGGGGGGACAAGGTAGTAGTGATTGATACATAATTAACTTATTGCAACTCTTTGTTATGCTTGTCTGCTCTCAATCCTATTTGTGTATGTATGTGTGTGCGGTGCGGGTGTGTTTGTGCGGGTGTGTGTTCATGACTTGTCATTGTGTTTGTTTCACTGTGGGGTTTTACGTGCGTTTGCATTCGTGTTTGTGGGATGTGTGTTTCAAAGTGTGGTGTTAGTATGTGTTATGTATGCAATTAGAGGTTGTTAATCGTCTTTGGGGCAGCGTGTTTTCGCTGTTTCAACGACCCCATCAACCTCTGTTGCTGCATGATGCATTTTAACATTCATTTTGAAGCATTCACTCCACCTCATGCCTTGTTGTTCATTTGTACAATTGCATTCGTTCATGTCGATGCCAGAATATTATGCTCGGCCGTACAATCCGTCGTATTTTTCGACGAGGTTGTGACGGTCGAGCAAGTTCATGGTTTCAACATGATACGTACGTGCTTACGTGTTTTGGGGATCTCATTCAAGAGTTTTTTTTATCCACTGTTTGAGGCATCCGTTTGAACACAGTTTCAAAACATTCAAACGAGTGCTCCAAAAAGTGCGTAAATAACACTCTTTGAATGATATCCCCAAAATGTGAAACCAAATATAAAGGGTTGCTACGCAACCCAAAAATGGTTAAGGCCCCGAGCGAGGAAGGAATGCTGGTAAGAACTGCCCTGCCTACATGAGACATTTATGGCTCTGAGCGTGAGTGTCGACGTTTGTCTGCTGGGTACAAGATTATTGCCGTCTTCGTCACTTGTTTCTCAGGACGTGTTTCAAGTCCACGATTTATCGGGCTCCCAGATCGATTGCCGGTCAATCGTGTCGGTAACCAACGTGGCGTCGGCCTACTGAGGGCGGGCAATGAGATACGAATGTCAGCCTACCACGCACGGTCGATCGCTTGTTGGCGAGAGAGTTTTGATTTCGAGAGGAGTACAGACGACGACCTGCGAACTGTGAGATCCTGTTTGACGAAAGTCAACAATTTGGTTTCCAGGTGTTTGACGAACAGCAATTATTCCCGCAGTCAAGACAGTGCGCTTCGAAGCAGACCCTGTGCTCCCGCGTGTTACTTGCTCCTTGATTTTATCCCAGGCTCGGTATTACAAACACTGCAAAACGAGATTCCATAGGTTCGGATAAATTTGTGAATGGATTCGATATTCCGAGACGACCCCGAGATCATTCCACTTGTAACACGTTCTGATTTCTGAGAAACCGAAGTTGAGGGCGTGCCCCACAAGTCTGTCTGATTTCAAAATGTACGTTGTACAGCGGTCGAGTTTATATCTTGATCGGTTGGGTCAGGTATTGAGCACATTTGTGGGACACGTTTGTTGTGCGAAGGCAATCACCTGTTGCGGCTCGGCTGCAGTCCAATGTCCAGATAATTTCGCGGTCCGATTTCCGTGTTCGGCAGGGCGAAATTCCAGATCCACAATTATATATTCATCTCCAGCGGGACACGCGTTATTGAATTCAGCGTGTGTACCGTAGGCCATCATAACGGGACATTTAGATATAAAATGCAAAAAAAAAAATAAAGGGGCATACGTGACAACTTGGCTGTAAACCTTCATTACCATTCCATCCACTCTTCATGGTATATTACGCAGGTCCCTATATATCATACAGCATTTATCTAACCTTTAACAATGATAATATATCTACTCATGTGATGTTTTGTTCTATTGATCTCAAACTTATAATGCACTTTCGCGTATGCCTTCAATGTGATTTGCAGCAGATTTCCCTAAAATCCGTGTCACGTAGGCTTCGAATCCGTGAACGTGATATGGCACCAACTCGACATGCAATTACTGGTCCACGCTGCAATATTTTTATTTTATTCCATTTGATTTCTCTATAATGCTCTCTATAATTCCATCCCCTCTAGATTCTCTTCCATCCCCTATAGCTGCTTTTCCATCCCTTATAGCTAAGCGCCCATACCCTCCCTGCTCTTCCTTAAACCCCCAGTCCAACTCTTTTCGCCTCACCCCCCTCCAGTGTTCCCCTCTCAGATCTACAGGTATAAAGATTTTCAACGAGGAATTCCTTGGTGTAGCTTCCTTAAGTGAACGTGCAAAGGGTAGGGAGATGAGGGCCAAGGAAAGAAAATTGGGGACTATCACCTTTTTTTTTTTTTTCCCTGGCCTGGTCTGGCCAGGTATGGCTTGGATTGTCCTAGCCTGACCTGGCTTACATTGGCTAGGCTTGGATTGGCTTGGCTTGTTATGGCCTGGCCTTGTCTGGCCGAGCATCGCCTGGAATCCAATAGCCTAGCCCCGCTAGGCTTGCCTTGGCTTGACTAGGCTTGGCTAAGCTTTGTTTGGCTAGGCTTGGCTTGGAGTGGCTTGACTTTCCGGTCATCGCTTGGCTTGGCTTGGCTTGGCTTGTCCTGGGTTGGACTGGTCCGGCCTGGCTTTGGCTTGGCCTGTTTGGCCTGGCTTGGCCTGGCTAGGCTTGGCTTGGATTGGGTCGGCTTGTCCTAGGTTGTACTGATCTGGCATGGCTTTGGCTTGGCCTGGTGTAAGGTTAGTTTTGCCTAACTCGGCTTTGCCTGGCTTTGGCTTGGCCTGGTGTAAGGTTGGTTTTGCCTAGCTTGGCTTTGCCTGGCTTTGGCTTGACCTGGTGTAAGGTTGGTTTTGCCAAGCTTGGCTTTGCCTGGCTTTGGCTTGGCCTGGTGTAAGGTTGGTTTTACCTAGCTTGGCTTTGCCTGGCTTTGGCTTGGCCTGGTTTAAGGTTGGTTTTGCCTAGCTTGGATTTGCCTGGGTGGGCTTTAGCTGGCGTGGATTGGCAGTTGTTGCAGTGCCTTGAAATTGCCTGGCTTGGCTTGGCCTTGCCTTGCTTGGCTTGGTTTGACTTTTCTTGACTTGGTCAGGCTTGGCTGGCTTCGCTTGACATGGTTTGGCCTTGGCTCGGCTTTGCTTGAGCTTGCCTGGCTTGGCCTGGATTGGCTTGGACTGTCTTCGCTTGGCTCGGCTTGGCTTGGCTGGCATGGTTGGACATGGAAAATTCTATTTTGACCTGGGTAGGAATGGCTTGGCTTGGCTTGGCTTGGCTCGGCTCGGCATGGCTTGTCTTTACTAGCGTGGCTAGCTTAGGCTGGCTTTCTCGCACGGTTGGACATGGTTTGGCCTAGGTATGGCCTGGCCTGGCTTGGCTTGGGCTGTCCTGGTTTGGATTGGCTTGGCTCAGTCTCGCTTGTCTTAGCTTGTTTGGTTTGGCATGGCTTTACTTGGCTTGAGCATGATTTGACCTAGTCATGTCTGGCTTGCCGTGGTCTGGCCTGTCTTGGCTTGGCCTAGCTGGATTGCCTGGTCTGGTGTAGCCTGGCTTGGCCTAGCTGGCTTGCCTGGTCTGGTGTAGCCTGGCTTGGCCTAGCTGGCTTGCCTGGTCTGGTGTAGCCTGGCTTGGCCTAGCTGGCTTGCCTGGTCTGGTGTAGCCTGGCTTGGCATAGCCGGCTTGCCTGGTCTGGTGTAGCCTGGCTTGGCCTAGCTGGCTTGCCTGGTCTGGTGTAGCCTGGCTTGGCCTAGCTGGCTTGCCTGGTCTGGTGTAGCCTGGCTTGGCCTAGCTGGCTTGCCTGGTCTGGTGTAGCCTGGCTTGGTATAGCTGGCTTTCCTGGCTTGGTGTAGCCTGGCTTGGCATAGCTGGCTTTCCTGGCTTGGTGTAGCCTGGCTTGGCATGTCTCGGATTGTTTGGCTTGGATAGGGTTGGCTTGGCTTGGGCTGGCATGGCTTGATTCGGTTGGACATGGTTTGACCTGGATAGGACTGGCTGGATTGGCTTGGCCTTGATTGGCTTCAATTGACTTGGCATGGCTTGGTCTATATTGCATGGCTTGAATAGCTTCGTTTGGGCATGGTTTGGCCTGACCTGGCTTGGCTGGTTCGTTCGGGCATGAAATGGGCGGAAATGGCTGAGTCTGTACTTGCTTGGGCCTGGCGTCACTAGCCTTAGCTTAAATTGGCCATGATTGGCTCGGATTGGCTTGGATTGGCCATGATTGGCTCGGATTGGCCATGATTGGCTTGGATTGGCCATGATTGGTTGGATTGGCCATGATTGGCTCGGATTGGCCATGATTGGCTTGGATTGGCCATGATTGGTTGGATTGGCCATGATTGGCTTGGATTGGCCATGATTGGCTCGGATTGGCCATGATTGGTTGGATTGGCCATGATTGGCTTGGATTGGCCATGATTGGCTTGGATTGGCCATGATTGGCTTGGATTGGCCATGATTGGCTTGGATTGGCCATGATTGGCTTGGATTGGCCATGATTGGCTTGGATTGGCCATGATTGGCTTGGATTGGCCATGATTGGCTTGGATTGGCCATGATTGGCTCGATTGGCCATGATTGGCTTGGATTGGCCATGATTGGTTGGATTGGCCATGATTGGCTCGGATTGGCCATGATTGGCTTGGATTGGCCAAGATTGGTTGGATTGGCCATGATTGGCTCGGATTGGCCATGATTGGCTTGGATTGGCCATGATTGGCTTGGATTGGCCATGATTGGCTTGGATTGGCCATGATTGGCTTGGATTGGCCATGATTGGCTTGGATTGGCCATGATTGGCTTGGATTGGCCATGATTGGCTTGGATTGGCCAAGATTGGTTGGATTGGTCATGATTGGCTCGGATTGGCCATGATTGGCTTGGATTGGCCATGATTGGCTTGGATTGGCCATGATTGGCTCGGATTGGCCATGATTGGCTTGGATTGGCCATGATTGGTTGGATTGGCCATGATTGGCTCGGATTGGCCATGATTGGCTTGGATTGGCCAAGATTGGTTGGATTGGCCATGATTGGCTCGGATTGGCCATGATTGGCTTGGATTGGCCATGATTGGCTTGGATTGGCCATGATTGGCTTGGATTGGCCATGATTGGCTTGGATTGGCCATGATTGGCTTGGATTGGCCATGATTGGCTCGGATTGGCCATGATTGGCTTGGATTGGCCAAGATTGGTT